ACACCAAGAGCTGCAGCACAGCCCCACAGAGCTGGCAGCACACACATGGAGACAGCACATGGACACTGCCCAAGGGACACTTCTGGCAGGGACAAGGCCAACCTTGCCTACTCTCCCAGAGCAGGGTGGGCTTCACAGGGGTCACAGCAGCACTGTACAGTTTTTCCTCTGCCTCCAGATAAGAGCTCTGGGTGATCTTGCCACCCTCAAGAAGCATGAAACCTCCAGAGCTGCTTCCAGCACACACACATGCCACCCTGTGGTCTATGGCACAAGTCCCCAAAACACAGAACAAGCCCTGAGATAAGCTCACCTGCTGGACTGGAGGAGGGTGGTGAGACACTGGAACAGGCTGCCTAGAGAAACTGTGGCTGCCCCATCCGTGGAAGTGTTCAAGGGCAGGTTGGATGGGGCTTGGAGCAACCTGCCCATGCATGGAGGTCAGAACCAGATGATCTTTAAGATCTTTTCCAACCCAAACCATGTTATGATTCTATGATTTGCTGCCAGCGAGCTCTGGCAGCTCAGCCCACTCTGAAAATGAGTTTCCAGAGAAAACACAGAGGTCACAGGTAAATGTGAGATGCCAAGTCTACAGCCATGCCAATCACCCTGCAGAGCAGCCATGTCATTTCCCTTTTGCCAGCTGGTGTCACTAGGCTGCTCCCACCAGACTGCCACATGTTGCAGGGTTGACTGGTGTCAAGAGCAGAAATACCCACTGCTCAAAAAGTGCTGTCACTGTCACACAGTGTCAGGAACCCACACAATGTGTCACGTGCACAAGCCAACAGTCACCACCCCTGAAGCCCACAATGCAAATCAGACAGCAGCTACCAGAAGACTAAGAAAGCAGAAGTTCACCAGCAAATACTGAAAGGATGCAAGAGCTCTGGAACCAAGAGAGATCAGCTCCAGCACAAGCAAGAAGAACCCAAGAGCTGCAGCAGGTGCTTGTGCTGCTCCTCCACAACCCTGCAACATGGACAAGGCATCCCACAACCACAAGAAGCCACAGCCTAGCTCCCAGCCCAGAGAAATTGTTATCTTCACCCACAGTTTCCTTCTGATACCCACAGGCCACTGGCACACAACAAGCAGACCCAGCACACCAAAAGCTAGTGAGCCACTGCCCCACCTCCCAGCCTCGGTGATCCTGAGGTCTCCAGTCTATCAGATCCCCAAGGAGACACCACCATTCTCTAGATAGCAGCTCTAGCAGCTCACCCTGGAAAGGACTTGGTCACACACCCCCTCTACAGCCCAGCCACAAACCTCAGCTGGGCCATCTTCTCCAGCCCCTCCGGGCTGATGCGGTCTCTGGAAAGCAGATTGCTGAGCTGCTGCTCCTGGTTCCCAGCCTCACGGAGGAGTTTGCTGAGCTCCTGCTGCTGCATGTTCCGCATCTGCTGCTCCATTTCAGGACTCAGAGGCGTGGGAGGGAGTGGGCCACACATGTACTGCCCCACCGGGCTAGGGTACCCTGGGTAATAGGCTCCTGGGTACACGCCATTGCTTGGACCCATGGGATACTGCAGGGAGTACCCCCCGTAAGGGTACTGGGGGCCTTGGCCAGCGGCCCGAGGGTAATAATAGGGATTGTCAGAGTTTTGGAATTTATAGTAGGATGTCTGGGCCTGGCGGGCTTCCCCCCAGGAGGTGGGACTCACTTCATCGTCCGTGTCTAGGAAGTGCAGCTGAGGGGTCTGGCTTTTCAGGGCAGGTTTTTGGTCCGGGTTGTTGGGGTCCCACAGCCTGCGAGCGGTGCCACCTCGGCCACGGCTTCGGGGGCCTTTGTTGCCAGCCCCCCCAAGCAGGAGCCTGGGCCCAGGGTGGGTGGGCTCGGGGGAGCCCGCGCTGCTGGCAGAGAGGTCCGTGTTGGCAGGCAGGAACAGAATCCCACGGCCCCTCCCTTGGGGCTCTCTGCTCTGGCTCCTCGCCTCCGAAGCCTCTGAGTCATTGTAACTAACAAACGCCTTCGGGGGCTTTTTTTTCTCTGTCTCTACCAGACTGACATCCCTGCTCATGGTTTTGCTGTCAAACGTGACTCGAAAGTGCCCTTTGACTTCCCTGCCATTGCTGCTCCACTCGCTCTCGCTCCTAGAAGCTCGACTAAGCTTTTTCTTCTCCAGATTCCTG